CAGCAGTTTTGCTTATAGTCTGAAGGGCTTTCATATTGCACTTGCATTAATTTCCCCTGAAGTGGAGAAAACAGGAACAATTCAGAGGTTGCAACAGCAGGAGAAGAGTTGAAAAGATCTTAAATTGTACACAGCCTGGGTCAGAGATCTGCCGTTTCTGCTGTTATTGTTGTGGTTAGCGACTGTTGTTCTTGTTACTATAACTTCTCAGCTTTGATGGTGCAGAGAGTTGGACCACAGCGTCAAGCCGAAAAATCAAGAGCCCTTAAAAGATGCAAGTGAGAAGACATCTTTGCAAAATCAGTGATTTAAAAAAAAAGGGAAGCAAATTAGAAACTTCGGCAATCGTTTTAAATTTAACTAAAGATTTTGGAACAACTCCAGTTGCTGGAATTATTATTATTTTACTCTCAAAGCGCTCGACACATGTGTATGCTCTGATATGAATAGTAAAGCAGGTGAGAAAATAGAGCTGAGAGATGGAACGTGATATCAGGTTGTTTTCGTCCCCTCCCCCCAGTTTCAAAAGACATCTTTGCAAAATCAGTGATTTTTAAAAAAAATTGGGAAGCAAATTAGAAACTTCGGAAATCGTTTTAAATTTAACTAAAGATTCTGGAACAACTCCAGTTGCTGGAATTATTATTATTTTACTCTCAAAGCGCTCGACACATGTGTATGCTCTGATATGAATAGTAAAGCAGGTGAGAAATTGGAGCTGAGAGACAGAACGTGGTATCAGGTTGTTTTCGTCCCCTCCCCCCAGTTTCAGAAATTGGCATTCCTGGTCAAGTTTTTATGGCATTGCAAAAGAGGACTAGATTCCCATATACAGTAATTACTTAACATGATGAGCCAATAAGTATTGGAGTTCAAAGCTATATGACGAAACCAGAAGGAGCAACCATGTAGCAACAGCTCCAGCTGGGTTTCAGTCAGGAGCTGCCTTCTATAACCCTTGTGTTTTGAAAATAGGGATGTGGCGGTGCTGCGGGTTAAACCGCAGAAGCCTCTGTGTTGCAAAGGTCAGAAGATCAGCAGTCGTAAGATCGAATCCACGCAACGGAGCGAGCTCCCGTCGCTTGTCTCACCTCCTGCCAACCTAGCAGATCAAAAGCATGTAAAAATGTGAGTAGATAAATAGGTACCACCTCGGTGGGAAGGTAACGGCGTTCCGTGGCTAGTCGCGCTGGCCACGTGACCACGGAAACTGTCTAAGGACAAACGCTGGCTCTACGGCTTGGAGACGGGGATGAGCACCGCACCCTAGAATTGGACACAACTGGACTAAATGTAAAGGGGAACCTTTACCTTTGAAAATAAATACCTTATATTTGGAGGTAGGGGGGAGTTGGAAACTGAAGTCCCCTTTTCTTTGGCTTCCAAGATGAACCAGACATCTTAAGGCTGCCTCCTGGCTCAGGAAAAATCAGGCAATCAAAAGTTTACAGTATATAAACGTTGAGAAAAAGCCTAAATCAACACCAGAGAGTCTTGTGATTATTGCTGTCAACAACAACAGGGGCAGTGTTTAATCAAATAAGAAACGCCATGAATAGATGGCCTTCAATTAAACCAAATGTCAGAAGGAAAATCAAAATTTTGGGAGAGAGGCTGTTACAATTGTTTGTGCTTCTGCAATATTTTTTGTGTTCTGATTTTTGCATCGTTTTAAGTTTGGGGTTGAATATAAACAAGAGCTCCTGGGATCAAACCCAAGGTCCATCTAGTCCAGTGGTCCCCAACCTTGGGCCTCCAGATGTTCTTGGACTTCAACTCCCAGAAATCCTGGCCAGCAGAGGTGGTGTTGAAGGCTTCTGGGAGTTGTAGTCCAAGAACATCTGGAGGCCCAAGGTTGAGGATCACTGATCTAGTCCATGTGATCCTGCCTTGAGTTTTAAGAACTCTAGAGAGGATCTTCTCTTGGTTTTACAGCACTGGAAGGATGTCTGGTGGGAATGTGAGACAGGGCCTTCTCAGTGGCTGCCCCCCAAACTCTTGAGAGGTTAGGTTGGCTCCCGCTCTGCCCTTCTGCCAGACAGGCAAAGGCATTTCTCTTCAAGCAGACTTTACACATACAAACTGCTGGGAATCTGAAAGGGGCTTAACTTGTTACACCTTAGCTATGTCTTTGTGCTTCTCACTTGCTTCTTTTCTGGTTACGTTTTCATCAAAAATTTGCTTTTACTAATATAACTTTATGTTCTACTAGCACTAGCTGCCTTGAGTTCCTTTCTTCGTGGAAAGGCAAGTGTTCAATCAAATAAATAGGTCAGCATTTGGTCATTTTTCTGCCCGAGGCAAAACCTTAAACCTACACCAAAATCAATGTAGAATACCCAAAGCCAGCCCTGCTAGTTTGGCACAGACGGGTGTAAATATCTCTTATGATATTTTGAGGAACTGGGACTTTAGCCGATGATCAATACAATCAGAACCAACTAGCTCTCACTAGGGCTAAACGACACCTAGTTCAAAACATTCTGCCATCATTCAGTGGTCAGAAAATGCAACTGTTCTGACTTCTCCTGAATATTCGTTCGTTCTGCGTCTACCAAGTCCAAGCAAATCTTTTGGAGGGAGAGAGGCTCACCTTCTTGTGCCTCTCCCCAAACCTTGATTGTTAAATGAAATATAATAAAAAAAGAATAAAGCAATAATCCGCCATTCCTTCAACAACACTTGCAACCTAAGTCTGCCTCCTCACTCAGGGCCGACCCTGGGCCTCTGGAAACCCACAAGCGAAAGGTAAAGACAATAACCCTTTTCTGTTACCAGCAGAACCCAGTACATTGACCTTCTACATCTATGAAGAAGCAAGTTCTGCTCAGCCTTCATGGTAGAGGTACTGCTCAACCTCACCTCAGCAGACCATGTCAATTCATAGTTATTTTAATCGCATGCTTTCTCCTCTTCCTCTTCCTCTTCCTCTTCCTAGCTCTGTTTTTTGCTGAGTTTTGCTTTCAAAGAGAAAGCCTTCCTCTGCAATGCTGAAGACATCCCAAGCAGTTTTGTAAGGTCACATTTTTGAAGGACAGTTCCCAGAACCCTATGGACCAGCATGACCAGTGACTAGGAACTTGACTGACAGTCAATGTGACCAGAACCAACCAGCTTCCACTGGGGCTAGAAGAGTCCCAGTTCAAGGCTAATGACTATTGCTCCCTGGTCAGAAAATTTCATTGCTCTTGTCTCTCATGAATACCTGGCTTCACCTACACCATCTCTAAGCAAATCCTTTTGTTGAAGTCACCTTAAATTAAGATACCTTATTTTTCCGTGTATAAGACTATAATGTGACCAGAACCAACCAGCTTCCACTGGGGCTAGAAGAGTCCCAGTTCAAGGCTAATGACTATTGCTCCCTGGTCAGAAAATTTCATTGCTCTTGTCTCTCATGAATACCTGGCTTCACCTACACCATCTCTAAGCAAATCCTTTTGTTGAAGTCACCTTAAATTAAGATACCTTATTTTTCCGTGTATAAGACTATACTTTTCTTTTGACTCTTTAGATTAAAAATTGAAGGTTGTCTTATACGCAGAAGTAAGCTGAGAAGAGAACAAAAGCAAGTGGAGGAGAAAGCAGGGATCAAAGCGATCCTGCAATACTTTGATCCCTTTCCCCTTACACTTGCTAAGCCTCACTTTGATTTCTTAATTTTGGATTAGAAAAGAGGGCAGGCGTCTTATACATGGTAGCGTCTTATACATGGAAAAATACGGTATATGCCTAACCCATGATGTTATTATATACACTACTCCTTCCTAACTTCCGCCTCGTACATTTATAGTTTTAAAAATCCATTTTAAAAATTGCTCAGGTTTTATTTTGTTCTGCTTTATTGTTTTGCTTTACTTTTGATAGAGTAAACCTTCCTTTGCAATAAAAAGGATATCGTAAGCAGAGCTTGGAAGATTAATCTCAGTTGACTACGAATCACCCAGTGACCATGTTGGCTTCAGGATCCTGGGAACTGTTGTATAAACAAGTGCTTTTTTTCAATGTTTAGTTCAGAGATGGCAAATCTTCGCCACTCTGGGTGTTTTGGACTACAATTCCCACAGCCCTTTATCACCGGCAATGCAGGGAGGCGATTCCAGTTTGCCACCCTGACTCCAATTCTCCTTTATCACCGGCAATGCAAGGGAGGCGATTCCAGTTTGCCACCCTGACTCCAATTCAAAAGTGCCCCCGACAACCCTTATATATCACCTTATCCTTGTATCACTTTTTGATGCTCTAGGTCTAAGTACTGCACATGTCTGGAGAAAGGAGGGGGGAAAAAAGATGGAGAGAGAATGAGAGATTTAGAATGCAGTCACTTGTTGGAGAACCACTCTCATCATCATCGCCATCATCTTAGAACTGCAGAGCTGGAAGGGACCCTACAGATCGAGTCCAGCCCCTTGTCAAGGAGCCCCAGTGGGGGAATCGAACTGCCAACCTCTGGCTCCACACCCAGAGGCCTAAACTACTGAGCAATCAGTTTGCCCTGGGCAAGAAAGCTGGATTCCAGCCCCATAGGCCTAAACTACTGAGCAATCAGCTTGCCCTGGGCAAGAAAGCTGGATTCCAGCTAAAAACGGAGTCCTCATAGCCAGTTCTAATCCTGTGTCCGTATACCACCATACCATCCTGAACACACTGATTTTGTCTGATTTCAGAACCTAAGCCAGGTAGGTCCAAGAAGAAATCCTGCCTAAAACCTTGGAGTAGACCTTTGGTCTAGATGAGCAAGGTATAAAGCTGAATGAATGAATGAATGAATGGTAGGAAGAAATCCTGCCTAAAACCTTGAAGTAGACCTTTGGTCTAGATGAGCGGGGTATAAAGCTGAATGAATGAATGAATGAATGAATGAATGAATGAATGAATGAATGAATGAATGAATGAATAAGAACTAGTGCTGCCAGTTAGAGCTGGAAATGCTGGGCCAGAGACAGGGAGGCCCTGATTCTGTATAGGGCACTTTCCAGGTTCCCATTATCCACCCTTACCTCTGCTAGTGGGGACGTATTGCTCCACAACGCTGACATAAAGCTGCAGGGTGAGCTGTGGTGTCGAACCCAGGAAGGCCTGGATGACGGCCATGCGCTTGAAGGCATTGCGGTGCGTGAGCAACCGGCGCACAGAGTGGCCCACCTCTTGCTCCAGCTCAATCTCGGTGTTGCTTTGAATATACTTCTTGCGAGTGATGGTGACATAGGGTTCCTCCTCACGACCCAACCGGTAGAATATCACAATGGCCTCTAAACACCTGCAACACAAGAGAGCGAGAGAATGGTAGTGCGTGTTTTAATGAATTAATTAACGAAGCAGACCCCGGGGGTTATCCGATTGGCAAAATGCACTTGAGACGTTGGCAGGATTTTAAATCTCCCAAGCAGTTAATAAAACAACAAACTAAACCAAGAGATGAACCACTGCAATATTAAAAGGTTAAAACGCAAGATCTTTAAAAGCCAGCAACAGAACACAAACGAAAGTAAGAAATTAAAGACTGAAAGCCTATTGGAAGAAAAGTATCTTAGCTGCCTATATAATAAAGTTTGTTTTCAAAAACAAAAATCCTTCCCTTTCTTTCTGGCCACAGTAATGCCATTGACGTGGAAAAGAGAGAACGAGTGCCTATTCAGAGGCAGTTAGGTATAGTGGTCAGGATACTGAATAAAAATTTGGAGACACACACTTGCACCCCAGCCGTGAAATTCACTGGGTGACCTTGAGCTACTCCCCCCATCTCTCTCTTTCTCTGGGGAGAACTGGCAACAGACCGATCATACTACCTTGAGCTCCCAAGGAAGGCAGGATAGAAATGGAATAAATAATACAGTGGTGCCTCACTAGACGATTACCTTGCAAAACAGTTTATTCGCAAAACCATTTTCCCTATGGGCGATTTTTGCTAGACAATGTTTCGGTTCGTGCTTCGCAAGATGGGGTTTTTTCAAGACCATTTTTCGCAAGACGATGATTTTGACAGCTAGGTCTGCGACTCGCAAAACGGTTTTCTAAGGGATCGATTTTCACAAGACAGCGATTTTGACAGCTGGTCCGCACTTTGCAAAATGGTTTTCCTATGGGTGATTTTTGCAAGATGATGACTATTTTCCCTATTCGAATGCATTAAATAGATTTCAATGCATTCCAATGGGGAACCGCATTTCGCAAGACGATGTTTTCGCAAAACAGTGATTTTCGCAGAACGAATTAACATCGTCTTGTGAGGCACCACTGTATATTGATAGCTGAAAGGATCCAACATCAACTCGCTTTGTATGCACTCTGCCCAGAGCTAGCCTATGATATTTAGCTACCCAAGGCAGAAGAAGAAGAAGAAGAAGAAGAAATTGATAGCTCTCAGAGTATTTCTTCTGAAAGGATCCAACATCAACTCACTTTGTATGCACCCTGCCCAGAGCTAGCCTATGATATTTGGCTGCCCAAGGCATAAAAAGAAGAAGTAGTAAGACGATATGTGGACTGTATGGGCAGCTGAATCCTCACCACCGGCTACAGAGCAGCAGCTCCCACTGAATATGAAGCTTTACGCTAGCTTTGGGGGTTCAGGGGAAGCTGAACCCCCTCCTTCAACACTGCTTCTTCCTTCAACACTGCTGTTATCCGCCACCTGAGGGAAACAACTCCCTCTGTCTAAGGACAGGGACAGAACTCTTATCTGTCTTGAGCTTTAAAGTTCTACAGACAATCTTAAAGTGACTCTGGAGCCATTTCCAGATGATATAGAATTGGGAGCCCACCCAGAACCTAGAGATACGGTAATTCATTTGGATTCTGTAAGTCCCCTCTGTGCAGGGTCATCAAAGAGCCCAGTTCACTCTAGACTTCCGCCTCATTATCTCTTGTTGCCCAAGCAGTAACCACAACAGTCTCTTTGGATCTTAATGTTTAGCTATAAGCAAATGATGTCATAAACATGCCGCTTCCTATTATAATCCCTGCTCGAGATTTTCCCACAATCATAAATAAGGAGCAACGCCCACAAATGCCTCTGAAGGCAAAGCAGGAGAATGCAAAAGCACACACCCTTGAAAAGAAAAACGATGATATGACAGAGACAAGATTACACAACCAGAAAATAACCATGAAATCCTTACATGTTTTTTTGTCCACAACCCCAAAGTTTCATTAAATGATGGGGCAGGTGGTTTCTTCCCAAAAGAAGAGGTAAAAGTGACAGGGGAACTTTAGAGTGAAATGTTCTTCGACATTTCAGCTTGAAATGCCACAAATTCTGAACAGTGACCCAATGCTTGAATTGGTGGGGGGGGGGAATTGGCAGCCCAGCGGTTTAGGTATCTGGCTGTGGAGCCTGGGGTTAGGAGTTTGATCCCCCACTTGTGCCCCCCAGGAGAAATGCTAGCCCATGTAGCCTTGGGCCAGCTGCACAGTCCCCAGGGCATTCCCAGAAGAAAGGAATGGGGAACCACATTTGAGTATTCTCTCCCTGAAAAAAAGGGTCGCCAGAAGAGAGAATTGGCTCGGCAGCATATGGTTATTATTAATAATTACAAACAGTTTCTCAAAAAGAAAAAGGCTAGCCTAAATAAAAGACTCACTTCTCATCTTAACTCCGACTACAGTTTGAGTCCAGCATGTTTTCTGATTGATCTCAGCATTAGAGCTACTTTTTGTTAGTAAAACTCTCAGAATGCTTCTCTCTCTCCTCTCTCTCTCTCTCTCTCTCTCTCTCTCTCTCTCTCTCTCTGAGGCTGATTTTCTTCTGAACACATTTCTTCAACCATTTTGATGTATAAACCTATGGCGCGGGTATTGTATATCATGTGTTTGAAGAATGCAATTGCAATCCATGGAGGTGTCCAATGACATAAATTGGTCTGCCACCGAAATGGCACATGTTTGTTCTTGTTGTTTTTCAGCACCCGATGTCAGGTGGACTATGTTTCTTACATCGTCACTCTCATTAGAGAACTGGGAAAGTCTTGATGACCGAATGCAAACTATCCAGAGATCCACCGGTAGATCCCGACCTCTGTCCTTTGCACCTCTGTCACAGAGGACACAAAGTTTGGAAAAGTTCTGGAGGAGCTAGCGGAAGCGTTCTTGAGGTGGAAACTCAACCAGGGGAGCTTTTTCTAAGCTCTGCTCATCTCTGTGAGAATGTGGGAATATCCTCCCACACTATGTGGTCCAGCAGAGTCAATTACAGTAAAAGGGGAGATGGTAGGTTCGTCCTTGCAGACGGATAAAAGCAAGTTGCTCACCTCCCAAAGACGGGATGATGTCATCCTCTAGGAACGAAGCCCAGGTCTATTCCCCTCCTCCCAGCCAGACTCCAAGATTACAGAGTCTACGGATGTGAGGCATGTATTCCACAGCTATAGCCACGGAGCTTGGAAAATTGCTGTTTTTTAAAGAGTCAGCAGTTACAGCTATAATTCTAGGGAATGCCAGTGTGGTGCACTTTAAAGAGGGACTGACGGACTAGGACTGGTTTCAAATCCCTGCTTAGTCATGAAAACATGCTGAGGGTGACAGTGGTGAAACCACTCCTTAAATACTGTATCTCACTTATCTCAAAACTCCATCAGGGTTGCTATAAGCGGGTGCAACTTGACAGCCTATAATAAAACACAACATAGTTCCAGGGCTATCATATGTAATTAATGACCATTATAAGTTAATATTGTAAAAACAATTCTACTACAGTACATACTTCCTTGTTTCTCAGCAGAAGCGATATACGTGCAGCTCCTACCTATCCTTCCCTGTGTCAAAATGGCTCCTGATCCTTGGAAGAGATACCCCTGCGAGCCGCTTTCGAGAGCCAGCTATTTCTTCACCGTGTGATTTTCAGGGCTCCTCAGAGCCAAAATGTTTTTTTTGGGGGGGGGTGATTGGCTTGGAAAGCTGTGCGGAGCAGAGTCTGTTTCATGAAGTACACAACTGTCTGGAGTGGTTAAGTCTCTTCATGAAGATGCAGGGGCTTCCGCTAGATTGGTCTTCCATAGGCTGGTAGGCAAGTAAGAACTTATCTCAGCTAGACATTAGGGTCAAGAAGTTCTTTCGGTAAAATAAGTACGCAACCTGTCCCATCCCTCTCCCCCTTTGCCAGGATGTCCACTGCATGATCCAATGCTGGTAGCAAAATGCATTGCATGATGGACACTGCAGCAAAGGAGGGAAGCACTGGCATCATCCTCATTGCGCATGTTTTTTTCCCCAGATGGGTTCTGGTTACTGTCAGCTTTTGACCTTAAACTGTCCATCGAGAATGGCGGTGTTTTCAATTTCTGGACCGCAGAGGCTGGGACTCAAGGCTGATCAGAAGCCCTGCTCCCTAATTCTGGGTATGGGAGGGCTGGTGGTAGAAAGGAGGAAACTCTGCACATGTTCAAGGACCTGCTCCTCTTTACTCCAAAACTGAGCACCGGCATAGAAGCCAATTTACAGATCAAGGGTTTGGGCTTCAGTCGAGGCCTCACTGGGCTGTCATGAACGAATGAATGAATAGCCTTGTGCGCTGGTACTTTTTTAAAAAAATGATCACACAGATTGGGAGGCAAAGGAGGAGCCGTCTGCAAACAGCAAACACAGAAAAGGGTTCTTTGTTGAATTCCAGATACTGAGAATAGAACAGGAGGCACAACTCGGCTCCGTTCCCTCACTAATTAGACACCGAAAAGGGAAGAGGGAGGCAGAAATGGAAGGGCAGGGCCCTTGACTGAAAGGGGCTAAAGAAAGAACAGGATGAGGGCATGGATGGCCTGTTTGCAGTCCAGAGAGGAATGATCATCTGCGAGCCAACATGTGGATGCCAGACATGAACAGCTGGGCAGTGTGATGTTAGCGGGGTGGGGTGGAAACGCTGTGATTTAGGGAGCTTCCTGAGTCTAACACCTTTTATTTCTTTAAAAAAACATTGTTAAAATTTGGGGAGAAGGTTCCATTTGGACCCCAGGGGCAACCTGGAGCCCACAAGTAGTCTGTTGGCCATCCCTGTTTCTAGGTAGAGAGTTCTTATTACTCACTCTGTTTTTATCTAATTTTTTTCAAAGATGCAAAAAAAAAAAAAAAGCCTTTTCATCATTGACCCCCAACATTCCCATTCCTCCCCAGCATTTTCCTCTTCCACCCATTCCAGGAAACCAGTCCTATCCCTACAACTACAACTAGATCGACCGCAAAGTTAATTCCCGCTTGCAAGCACGTAGAGACAGGCCAGGCAAACACACCACACACCAAGATGGAGGGGAGGAGGGTCAGCTGACTTTG